GATTCCTTCTCTTCTAAATGCAAATTATGCATTCCATTTTTTTTTTTGTTTTTCTGCACAATTACATTACTGTTTAAAGAAAATATATAAGTAGATTCATTTAGAGAGGATTCCCGGCTGCGTCGCCGTAGAAAAAGAAGTCAAACACGTCGTCCGGCATCTCTTTCAAACGATATTACTAAAATACCCTCAATACCGCCGGAATTTTCGAAAAAACTGTAGCAGCCTCATTTTCGTCGAACTTTAAAAATAATTCTACAAACCCATCGCATTATCTCGCGATGTCCTAAATCAACAATTTCGGAATCCTTCTACCGTTACCGGAAAAGAATGCAGTCCGCGAAGTCTCGCCGCAAAATCGTGCCTTCCGCCGATGGCGGCCAATCCGGCGACAAGCTTGAGCAGCTCCTTCTCTCCTCCGCCATATGCAACGGGGAAGACTTAGGCCCCTTCGTCCGTAAAGTCTTTTCCTCTGGTAAACCAGAGACCCTCCTTCACCTCCTCCGCTACTTTTCCCGCTCCAAGGAATCTGAAATCGAAGAGGTGTGCAAGGCTCACTACCAAGACTTCATCCTCGCCGTGGATGACCTTCGATCTCTGCTCTCCGATGTTGATTCTCTCAAATCTGCTCTCTCCGATTCCAACTCCAAACTACAGTCTGTTGCCGGTCCGCTTCTTGCTTCTCTGGATGCTTATGTGGAGGCTCAGAATGTCTCCAAAAATGTGGACTTTGCTTTGACATCTGTTGTTTCTTGTATGAAGTTGATGGAGCTATGCTCCAGAGCGAATTATCATCTCTCGAATGGGAGTTTCTACATGGCGTTGAGGTGTTTGGATTCGATCGAGAGTGAATTCCTGGATAAAACGCCGTCTTTGACGTTAAAGAGGATGCTGGAGCGGAAGATTCCGGCGATTCGATCGCATATTGAAAGCAAAGTTAGCAAGGAGTTCGGTGACTGGCTTGTCGAGATCCGCGTTGTGAGTCGCAATTTGGGGCAATTGGCGATCGGTCAAGCCTCATCTGCCAGGCAGCGTGAAGAGGAGCTGAGAATCAAGCAGAGGCAAGCCGAGGAGCAGAGTAGACTCAGCTTGAGAGACTGCGTTTATGCCTTGGTAGAAGACGACAATGAAGATGAACTCGGGAGCGGAATTGGAGACGATAAGGATGGATATGCTAATGGCAGTAGTGGTTCATTAGGGTTTGATTTGACCCCCCTTTATAGAGCTTATCACATACACCAAACATTAGGACTCGAGGATAGATTCAAGCAATATTACTTTGAGAACCGGAAGCTCCAATTAACTTCAGATTTTCAGGTATCTTCCATGACTCCTTTTCTTGAATCTCATCAGACATTTTTTGCACAAATAGCGGGCTTTTTTATAGTAGAAGATCGGGTTTGGAGGACTGGAGGGTGTTTGATTTCGAAAATGGAAGTTGAGAATTTGTGGGAGACTGCCGTGAGCAAAATGTGTTCAGTGCTAGAGGATCAATTTTCTAGGATGCAAACTGCCAATCACTTGTTGTTGATTAAGGATTATGTAAGCTTGTTAGGGGTTACCTTGCGTAGGTATGGGTACCCTGTGGATGCATTGCTTGATGTGTTGAGCAAGCACAGGGATAAATACCATGAGTTATTGCTGTCCGACTGTCACAAGCAGATTGCAGAAGCCCTTGCTGCTGATAAGTTTGACCAGATGTTGATGAAGAAGGAGTATGAATACTCCATGAATGTGCTTTCCTTCCAGATACAAACTTCTGATATTATCCCAGCATTTCCTTATGTTGCACCATTTTCATCTACTGTGCCTGATTGTTGCCGTATTGTGAGGTCGTTTATTGAGGACTCTGTTAGTTTCATGTCATATGGTGGGCAATTGGAATTTTATGATGTTGTTAAGAAGTATCTGGACCGGCTTTTGAGTGAGGTTTTGGATGGGGCTCTTCTGAAGCTTATTAATACTTCTGTCCATGGAGTTTCCCCAGCAATGCAGGTTGCAGCAAATATGGCAGTTTTGGAGCGTGCTTGTGACTTCTTCTTCCGTCATGCTGCTCAGCTTTCTGGCATTCCCTTGAGAATGGCAGAGAGGAGTAGGAGGCAGTTCCCTCTTAACAAAGCCCGTGATGCAGCAGAAGAGATGCTGTCTGGCCTGCTCAAAACAAAGGTTGATGGTTTCATGCAGCTGATTGAGAATGTGAACTGGATGGCTGATGAGCCCTCACAGGGTGGGAATGAATATGTGAATGAGGTGATAATATACTTGGAAACTCTGGTTTCTACTGCACAACAGATATTACCAGCTCAGGTTCTTAAAAGAGTTCTACAAGATGTTCTTTCTCACATATCAGAGCAGATAGTTGGGTTTTTGTTTGGGGATTCAGTTAAGAGGTTTAATGTAAATGCTATAATGGGGCTTGATATAGATATCCGGCTCTTGGAATCTTTTACAGATAACCTTGCCCCTCTATTCTCAGAAGGGGATGCAAATCAGTTGAAAAATGCACTTGCAGAGTCAAGACAATTGATCAATTTGCTTTTAAGCAATCATCCAGAGAACTTTCTGAATCCAGTAATCAGGGAGAGGAGTTACAACACCCTGGACCACCGGAAGGTGATGACAATTTCAGAGAAGTTAAGGGACCCTTCAGACCGGCTATTTGGAACATTTGGAAGTAGGGGAGCCAAGCAGAACCCAAAGAAGAAATCTCTGGATATATTAATAAAAAGACTCAAGGATGTTAGCTGATCCAGCACAGGGATGTATGCATGTCTCTGTTCTTTCTTCTTGTAGTGCTTCATTTTCATTGCTAGTATTATTGGCTTAGTTGATGCTTAACAATCATTTGCTTCTGATTATCTTGAGTTCATAGATCTGAAAATTTCGTTTGTGATTTGTATGTATCATTCAAATTTATACCGTCAGTTGTATTAAATTCTTTTGGATCATATTAGTGAATTTGTTGATACTTCTTGCTTTCATATCCTTTGTCAGCTCCTTGAGATGGTTAAAGGCTACCTTTACATTCCAGCTTTTTTCAACATTAGGATGCCAGTCTGTATGATTTGTGTGCACACATTGTCTACTTTTACCATCCTCAACCAAATTTGTGCTTCTATGACGCACGCTCATATTCATAGAGTCAATTGCTTTTTTTGAATTGCAAAACAATTTTTTCGATATTCATATATGTTTGTATCCCGCATTTACCCATCTGTCATGTTGGGAATTGTTCACATGGTGTGTTGGTGGTGGTAATTATAGGTGCAAAAATCCCACATAAAAGAAAAATAAGGTGAACGAGTGAAATGTTCATGTCGGCCTGTGAACTTTTTGTCATGTCCTTTGAGTGAAAGATGGTGTATACTCACAAGTGTTTAATCTCATTCCTACCTGCACTCCCAGTCTCCCACCGCCTCAGCTGTCTCTCCACTCTCCAGCATGTCAAACTAGGTGTTGTGTTGTATGAGGATGCTATCATTTTGGAGGCATCTGGTCCTGCCCCACACACCCCCAAAATATCCTCACTTTATCTGAAGTAATAAGTATTTCATTTTTACAGCTGAGTCTTTGGTCTTAATGTTTGATTTGCTCTACAGTTGTAATGAGCAGAAAAGTGTTGTACAGTCTACAATGACCATGGATGTAGGTGGGGTCAATTGATTGTAAGATAATTTTTGAATGGCTACTTATTTATAGAAGATGGGTCCTACGTGGGCTCAATGAATGTGGGGCATTCCTTCCCCAAAATCAACAGTCCTTTTCTTTTTCTTTTTCTTTTTCTTTTTTTTTTTTTTTATTTTTTCAGTCCGACCAACAAATAATTGTCACAATATCACCATTCACTAGTCACCTAATGGTATAATGAATTAATGGTTTTTTTTTTTTTTACATATTACAATTTTGGGGAAGGTGGTTTGAACTCTAACCCTAAGACTGAAGATGCACCATATGATAAAACATATAATTATTGGATCACGAAACTTAAATGCAATAAATTGATGGTCTATAATGTGTCTATCTCACATTCCTTGTATTTTTTAATTTTTTTCATCATTTCATAACTTAGAACCCTAAGGGTCACCCTTTTTTTTATTTTGTTTTTTATTATAACCATGTCCATATTTTATTTCATTTAAGGAATAACATCATACAGATAGCTAGAGCCTCCTTATATCCTCGGCTACACATTTCCTAATATTACCAGGCAACTCTTCCACCCAATCCTCATCATCATCATTTGTTAAGGCTATTTTTGCCAACTCATGGGCCACGCATTTTTGTTGTTCACTTTTGAGAGATGATAAACTGCACTCATGTCGCTGCTAAAGCCATTGTGTGTTTTGTCCAAATTATATTTTCTTGTGACGAAAAGTGCTTTTACCCAAAAATGAAAACTAAGGTAAAAGTGCAAATTCAAATATGACTTATGCAGCTGAAGAAAATCTGCAGCCTTACTAGGAAAGCAAAAAAAAAAAAAAAATACTGCATGAAAACGAAAAAGAAAGTCTCAAAGTTCGAATCTATCATTTGTTCATGTTGGTGTCACGAGGAAATGTTTTTGATACTAATTTTTTTGGTATCTAAAAATTATATTGAATCTTAATTAATTAAAAATTAAATTACATTTGATTTCATAAAGATAAAACTCTTTTAACACATATTTTTTTATTTACAAAATTTAAATTTAAAATTTTATTTAAAAATACTCGAGTTTCATTAACTCTTACTACCAGATCCTTGGATTTGTAAGGAAATGTTTAATTTGAGAAAAATTATGTACTTTTTATTATTCTCTTCTCCCATCTCTTTATTTGGTAAAGAAAGCTTCTTTCTTTTTCTTGATTTTTTTAGTAACCGAAACTAACCTGTCCGTTCTGTCATTGGCTGATTACTAATGCAGTTCAAAATTTTAACCAAGAAAGTCTCTCCTCGTGCAAGGACTCTAGCAGATAAGATCATCATCGAAGCAGATTTTTTGGAGATGTAAATGGGCTATCAACAATTTAGGTAAAGCTAACTGGAAAATCAAACCCATTCATGAGGGAATTGTGTTGTGATGGAATGTCTAAAAGCTTCAGATAAATAATTAATTTTTTTTTTTTTTTTTTGGGTGAGAGCTTCAAAGGAATTCAATTCACTATAGCCAATTAGCCCATGACAGCGTAATGAGGTTGCAAGCTGGATTGCAGCAGGATTCACGCAGAGGACATGTCCTTCCCAATCTCCATCCAGTATCCCTAGAAAAATGAACTGCCTTTTTCTCCTCCTTCTTTCCTTTTTTATTTTTTTTTTAATTTTTAACCCCAAATGATGAATTTCCTTGTTCTCAAGGACTTTTTG